AGCAACATGCGTGCACGTCAGCACAGCACGTGAGTACATCAGCCAACAGAAGAGTTGGATAATTTCATTGCTTCCAATACAAAATGCAAAATATTCAGGCTCCTTTATTTCTCTTCAGCCAAATCGAATGTGCATAAAAAGGCATCCATGAAACAACTTTGGTGTTCTTCTCTATCCAGATTACCCCTCCTGCCCTCCACGAGGGCACACATAAGAAACAGGAAGCTTTCAACAGACCCAGACACCACGTGTGCTTCCTGCACCAGCTGTGGAGCTCAAGGCATAACACAGCCATACAGACTGCTGCACTGGCACTGAAGATACTCAGAGCTCCAGTTTGTCTAACAAACTGCTGATATTCTCCACGTTTTGCAAATAAAGCTCAACTTGAATTCAAATGTTTGATTCCAAACAGAGTAACCAGACAGCATCCCCTGCTCTTACTTTCCACTCCTTCAATTTTGGTTGCTGCTCTTTACCGCATCTCCTCTTTGCTTCCATAGATTCTGTTTTCCTTCTGGCACATTGCTCTGCTCTGCCTGAGAAAGAAGCTCTGTCTCTGGCTTCATCTTCTATCTTTTTTTCTACAGTTTCTGCAAGCTAGTGGAAAAATGATGCCATCTATTTGAACTCACACGGCAGTGTTACGATGCAGGAAGAACTACCCGGCTGACATGGCACTGTTTCCATCTCAGTGACCAACCCATGCAGAAGATCTCTGGGAGGTACAAAGAAGTGACATGGATGTCACTTGGAGCGCAGTGCATTTGCTGCATTTCTCAGAGGAAAACACACTTCTCTGTACCCACGAGCTGAAGCACGTGGAACTTCACGCAAACAAGCACGCTCCTGAAATGAGAACACTGACCAGCAAGCCTTTGATCCCAGCGAGGCTTTACGTCACTTTGGCAAACGTGTCACAAGAAGACATCTCTGCATTAATGCAACAATTGCAAGATCATCGTGGGTGTGAGATTAGACATCAGTCTACAGGTCCATTGGATTTACGTGCACATACTGTGTCGGGGGAAGGGATTTTATTGCATCTTATCCCAACAGTTGCACACAAAATACAAGCAGTAAGTGCACGTGTAAGTTCACTCACACTGCTGTATTGTCTCTGATTTACGGGGTGCATTTCAGACACAATGTGGGGAATGAAGACAGACATCGTCAGTAAAAAAATAAAGAAAAATTTCCTTCCTAAGGTACAAAAAAAACAACCAACCCACAAGAGTGTTAGCAAGTTATACACACAGTAAAGAGCATGGTAATGTTCACTAACAATACTAATTCCTTATACCCATCCACTACTCGTAGTTTCCTTTTTTTTAATGAACTAAGAAAGCTGCACAGATAACAGACATCTACCAGCTCTGAGCTGATGGTCCTCTTTCTTCATCCACTGTTAACTAAGTAACAGTCTCATTAAATGCTCAAATTACACGGCTTGCTTCATGCAGAATCCTACCTTGTGCTGATAGAACGCAAGGATAGGTCTCTTGAGGGGAAAGCAGACCGATCCTGTTGACAGAACAGCCACTGCTGGTCTCATCACATTCAGTGTGGCACCAAATGGATACACAAAAGTGAGAGCCCTGCAGAAAATACAGACTCCTTAAGTGCCTGCATGCATCAGACAGGCTCGTCTCATCTATAAAACAGACTATCTGCCTAAGCTGAGAAGTTCAACCATGCGCTGATGGTGGAATGCCAAGAGCCCTGTTTGAGAAACTCAGACCACCACAATGACATGACTTTCTAGGAGGTGTTTCTCTTTAGAAAGAAACAGGGTTCCTCTTCTCTACAGCTAGAGCACTCACTAACCAGAGCTCATGCCTATTCATGTTCAATCAAACTCAAATACAGAGAGAAGGGGGGGGCGGGGAAATATCTGGTCAGGAAAGTAATAACTCCCCTCAAAATCTATCATTCCTGCTCTTCACTTGCTATCATGAGTCACTGAACAGCCTTCTTTCCAGATAAAGCCTTGGGAAGCAAGAAGCTAACTGACATACATTCATTAGAAAAGCTCAACATAAATTCCTAAATAAATTCCTGCCCACGGAGGCTATCAGTGGAGAGTGAGGCTAAAGCTTTTCACACCAGCTGCCCCAAAGGAAAACACTTACTGTGAGTCATGCCCGTCCCCATCTTCACCTGTTGTCTCCAGCCCTGTTTTTCTTGCAGCTTCACTGATTCCCCTACAGCAAATTGAAAGCAAAGCCTACTGAAAACACTACGGGCTAAAAGAGTTAATTGTGAAGATGCACATAGCCAAAATACCTACCTATTCAAAACTCCATCAGTGATCAGTGCTTCTTTTGGATGGAAGTACTTGTAATACACATTTCGTACAACAGCATCTCGGATAAAAAAATGAAATAAGAGGAAATCTGTACCTTAACTGATCAGTATGCTAAACGCAGCAATGTAAGTGAGTTTAGCTCTGGGCTCCCTTGAATGTTTCTTTCTAACACTGCAAAGCTGGCACGTGGCCCCCAGAAAAGTTCCTGTCAGTCTTCACTATTGCTTCCTTCTGGACATAAAGATTTAGACCAGCAGCATATTTGCAAAATAAAACTATGAAAAACGACCACATGCCTTCTGCGTGTTCTTAGATTAAAAAAAAAAAAAAAAGTTAAAAGAATTCTTATCAAAGCTTTTAATACATCTCCTAAAGCGTGATGACGACCAATAGCACCGACGCACAAAAAAACAGAGAGCAAACAAAAGGAAAACAAAAAATACCAGCCTAAATGCCATCAAAGAGCCTACAAATATTTCCCGTACGCCGAGGCACACAGCTGATTTACACTTTGGCAGTGCAAAAGCTAATGGATTGCACGTCACTGGTCTCCTCCAAGAAAGTGCCACAGCTGCTTCAGGTGAGGTACGGGGATGGCCAAATTGTTACCAAGCTGCTGTGCCTGTGGAAAGCCCTCGGGGTGCCTCAGTATTACACTATAGAGCACATACAGATATCAAGAGAAACACAGCCTGAAAAGATCCAAGGGCATATTTTGTGTGCAGGACCCGCAGAGCTCACACCCTACAGACTGAACTGCTCTTAGCTTTCCTAGGAAATGCAAGAATAAAAGGTGTCAGTGAGCCCCACTACCGTTATTGAAAACGATCCCGTATTCTTCTAACAGAACGTTAATGTTTGTGCCACGTCTGGACTCGCCGCCTTCACCGAGCATCACCAGGATGGCTCCACCATCCTCCAGGAATTTCTTCAGAACCGAAAACTAAAAGACAACAAGCATCCAGAAAAAAATCGGAAGTGAAAGAAGACAACAGCAAGACTGCAAGAATCACAGCATGGCCTGGGTTGCAAAGGAGCACAATGCTCATCCAGTTCAACCCCCTGCTGTGTGCAGGGTCACCACCCACCATACCAGGCTGCCCAGAGCCACATCCAGCCTGGCCTTGAATGCCTCCAGGGATGGGGCATCCACAGCCTCCTCGGGCAACCTGTGCCAGTGCATCACCACCCTCTGAATGAAAAACTTCCTCCTAATATCCAACCTAAACCTCGCCTGTCTCAGTTTAAAACCATTCCCCCTTGTCCTATCACCATCCACCCTCATAAACAGCCATTCTCCCTCCTGTTTACATGCTCCCTTCAAGTATCGGAAGAAGCTACACTGAGGTGATTCTGACAACCTGCACTGAATTTGATGCTATGAGAAAAGCATTCAAATCTCAAGCTGTGTAAATTCATACAAAGCAGTAACGTCCAAAATCATCTACGCTGTTATTTTCTATTTTCTTTTAAGATTTGCTTAATGCACAGCCTACGTGCAAACAGGTATGGTTTTAAGTTGCAGGAGGGAAGATTTAGGTTGGATGCCAGAGGGAAGTTCTTTACAGATGACGGTGAGGTGCTGGAACAGCTGCCCAGAGAGGCTGTGGATGCCCCGTCCCTGGAGGTGTTGGAGGCTGGATGGGCAGCCTGGGCTGGTATTAAGTGTGGAGGTTGGTGGCCCTGCCTGCGGCCGAGGGTTGAGCTTCATGATCCTTGAGGTCCCTTCCAGCCCTGGCCATTCTGTGACTCTGTGATTCTTACCTCAGCAGCGCTGAACTTTTCTCTCGGACCAGCTGTTATCCACAGTTTCACTCCGAGGAGCTTCTCAGACGTGATCTCACCTTTTAAGCTACAAACGGACAACAAAACGACACGGCATTCTTGCCCTGAACCACGACATTACTAACAACTGACAAATAAGCATTAAGCAAATCACTCCAGTCGCTTCAATCCCTTCGTTTCGGTTTAGAATTCACAACCTATCGAACACAAAGCACCGTCAGCGAGGCCCCGCGGCACAGCCACAACCCGGCCCTCACAGAGAGCCAAATCCGTGCCAACGAAAGCCCTTCCTTCTGCGCCCCGACACCCCGAGCCGGGCAGCCGAGCTGCGCAGCACCGCCAGGACGGGGACAGCAGCGGCCCGGCCCTCACCTCAGGATCTCCCAGTTGCCTCGGAGCCTCTTACGCCAGGCTTTGTAGCCGCTGGCGGGAGTGAAGGCTTCCCCTTTGGAAGCGTTGAAGACGATGGCGTTCCGCGGGCACTCCGCCATACCTCACGCAACGGCTGTCGCCCGGTAACGCAGCGCCCGCGCATGCGCAGCAGCCCGCGCTGTGCTGCGTCTCCCAGGAAACACTGCGGCTGGGATCGTACCGACAGCCGCCGGTAGGGGGCGCTGCGCCGCACAACCACCCCCCGTGGTGGCAGACGCGGGAGAGCACAGCGGGGCGCTGACCTACCGACAGCCGCCGGTAGGGGGCGCTGCGCCGTCCAGCCACCCCCACCCCCCCCGGCGACACAGAGGCGGGAGCGCACGGCGGTGCGTTGCGCTTTAATTGAAACCGCGTGGTGGTTGCGGCGCTGCCGCACGTACAAGAGAAACGTTCCGTACGAGCTTCCTCAGCGCGAACAGCACTCGCCCCCTTTTTCCTCCTCCCAGCAGCAGTAAGAAAAGGACTCGAGGAAAGAAAGGGGGGAAGCGGTGCTCAAGCAGTACACCGGCATTTAAATTCAGGCAGAACAAAGATCGTGTGCACATCGCGACAGCCATCGCCAGAGCAACGCGGGCACCCGAAGGCTTCTGTTGCTGCTGAGGAGCAGCCCTTAGGAGAGCACAGGAGCCGCAGCCCTGCCAGCAGCGACTGACAGCGGCTGAGCCCAGCACGAGGCTGCGCTTTCCTCCCCCCAGCAGCGCTCCCTCCTTCCACCAAGGCAGCTCTGTTTCTTCAGCGGCGTCCACTGACCTCCTCATTTCTGCTCTGAAGTACTGAAATCCAACGAGCACCTCCAGGCAGGAGCAGGGGGACGCCTGCAGCTACGAGCTTTTGGATTGGCCCTGGGCAGAAGGCTTGCTGAACTGCCCTGCTTGAACTCCAGCCTTGCTCCTGGGATCAGATTGTCCTTTTCCCAGCCATTCAGATGAGCGCATCCTACTTCAAAAGGAAGAAGCCCACGATCTTCCCACTGCTGTGCTGTGAAGTTTCCCTTTGTTACAAGGCAGCATTAGCTCCACACCATAGAAATGACCTGTTCCAGAGATGTGGCTGTGATGCGAGTGATGGTACATACATCTTAGTCATAAATACAACCACGGTGAATACAACCCTACCAAACAGTACAGAGATAATTGTTAGTGTCCCACTTTCCTTGCTACAGGAACACCCACTTAGAGGCAAATCCACCAAACAGCACAAATTAAGAGCTCTGTTCCATCCCACCCAGTTAGTGTATTAGTCCCCTGGTTTAGACCATGACAAAGTGACGTTACTATTCCTTTCAAAAACTGAAACGAGAAAAGCCACAGCAATAACAGCAAACATAAAATTGCATTCAGTTAAAACCTGGCTTCTCAAAGCCTTTATAAAATCTAGAAGTCCTCTTCAGTTGGTGCATAAGAAAATCCTAAAAAAGCATCTGAGGCACTGGAGCTGCTGGCTGCTAAGTCAGGTGTGTGGGTGATGGAGGCAGAGATCGCTTCCTGGGTGAACTCTGGGTCGAAGTGCCGCAGATCAGCTGGGCCAGCCTACAGGGGCAGAGGGACGCATCATGTTGGGCAAGCAGACCCCAAGCACCTGCTTGTGGCCCATCCCTTATCACCACCCTTGCAGTGTGTAACCTGCACTTCAGCATCCCTCGCTATCAGTGAGGGACGCCTGGGGAAGAGCCTTTGACCTTGCAGCCTCAATTCCTTGTGGGCCAGCCACTATAAGGTAGACCCCCAATTAAATGCCCACTTACCACGTTAGGGTTGAACGGAGGGGTAATCCTCTTGTGGTACAAGTCATCCCAGTTTATTGGGCTGAAGAATACGTGGTTCTTTATCTCAAGCTGCATGGAAAGGGGGAGGAGATGTCAGTTGCCTGCTAACGCTTCTCTCTCAGCACCTGCCAGCTAGTTTCATAGCTGTAAGTCGTTGAAACAAGACTTGGAGCTGCCACATGAACCCTACGTGGACATGTAGTGAGTCTTTAATCCACGAGGGTCATAGTCCTGTAATACCTTGAAGGGATGAGATGACACCACTGCAGGTATTCTAGCTTGCCACCACATCTTGAATCATAGCATTTCCCTTCAGGAATGAGTCAACCCCATCTACCTCTTTTAGGGAACTGGAAAGACCTACCTACATGGAAAGCCTTTCCCAGGGCAGTGCTGTTACCATAAACATATATAAAGCTCATCATAGGAAGCCTTCTTACCCATCCTCCCTCCTAATCATAAGAGAGGCCACCTACAAAGTCTGTTTTGGCACCCAGCCTCCTCTTCTGGTCCTTGTGGAGAAGTCCATGGAGGATATCACAGGCTGCCACAGTCTTGCTTCCTTGGATCTGGAGTTGCTTGTGGAGAATGTTGTCATACATTTGAGACACGTCCCGGCTATAAAAGGGAGGCTAATTTGAAAGAGAAGAGAAGCAGCCTGTCAAGTATAAGCTGTGGTAAGGAACCACACATCATTGGCCAAGATGTGTCCCACAGTGAGAAGTTAAGGGCAACCTGAACTCTGTTCCAATGGTTAAGGGCATGATTGAATCCTGCATTCAGTTACCTGCCTCAGTTGCCCATACCAAGTGCCATAGGAACATGAGGTTGACATCACTTCACACATTTGGAAAATAAGTTCTCCACTAAATAAAATATCTTCTAAACTTACCAGTCCAAAAAGCATCTCATAGAGGACAGCGCCAAGGCACCACCAGTCTACTGTCCTGTCATACGGCTGCTTCTTTAGCACCTCAGGAGCTAAGTACTGGAAGAGTCAGAAGTAGATACTGTAGTCCACTCAGACAGGAAGGGGTTCACCTTTGTAAGTATACAAACCTGGCTGCAGTTCAAGTTCAGCAAATCCATTCGGAAGAACACAGCGGCATCTTCAAACAGGCTTACAAGGATTCTCCGTTTGCCAGAGACACCCACCAACACCCAACTCCCCACAGAAAAAAAATCGCTTTCCTGGGCTACAGAGTGCTTTCTTCCTAGAAACAGTTTGTGCAGGGATTGGCCACCCACCAAGAAAACCAGCAAACCTGCCCCACCCTGACGTATTACACTTCTAACAGACTCTTGTCATTTTGAGGTGGTTGCAGTTTCCGTACCCAGTAGGTCTATCCAAAGCAATGAAACTACTCAGAGCCCAGGTGCAACAGGTAAGCATTCATGCGGCCTGCAGGACAAGCAGCACATCAAGTCTGCTCTCACATATGACCATTTCCATGTTATCAGGCTCCCTGTATCAACGAGGCTCTCCCCCTCAGCTCATAGCAGAGCTCCAACACGGGCCATACCTCAGGAGTGCCGCAGAACGTAGAGGTAGTCTCTTCTTCCTGCATTCCTTCCTTGCAGAGTCCAAAATCTGTCAACACCACATGTCCCTGGCAAAAAGAATTTCAGCCTGGCCCACTCTCTCATGAGAAACAGCAGGATTGCCAAGCATTGGCCACCACATTTAACCCAATCTATGTTTTAGTGTCCCACTGGTCACTTGTTTTCCTTTCCCTCGCCTCCTGGGTGTCCTATCATGCAAGTAGGAAGTCTATGGAGAAAATAAGTAAGTAGAGACATTTTCTAAAGTTTCACTACAGCTGCACTACTGTGATGACATCCAACACTTCTGTGCCTCAGCACTGCCTTATCCCCAAGCCAGGTGGCATAGTGTCACCACCAGAGTAGCAGTGACTTACTCTTAGCACTCAAGTCCCTCCCCTCAAGCCAGGTCCCAGCTCTTGGGACCAAGCAGAGTGTTTTGTATGCGGAGTTCTGCAGAGCGTGTGCTTGCTCCCTCTTGCAAGACCTGGACAGAAACTTAGTGGTATATAGATGCAAAAATCCATGCAATGGAATGAGCCACGGCTTGTCAAACTATAGCTCTCTGGTTATGATGCCAAGGCTTTGAAAAGGCAGCACAAGAGGTGCATATACCTGGCAATCCAGGAGGATGTTCTCAGGTTTTAAATCCCTGCAAGGCAAAAAACTTTTTGAGCAGATCAGGATTTTCTAAATATCTGGCCTAAACAGCAACAGCATCAGGTGAAAGGAGGAGCTAACAAGACTTCATAAGCCAACTCACCAAGACCTTTTCAAAGTGCAAACTCCCATTGCTCTTGGGCATTAAAATATACATATTAATGTAGAACTGCTCTCATGCAGGGTCAGATAGTAATTTTCATTTCACTGTGCATGATTTGTCACAGAAATTCTTATTTCCTTAGTAAGGTTTATCCTAAATCTTTGTATGCAACTAGAGTCTTGTCCCCACTACTGGGCTGGGGGTGTTTATTGCCCAGCAGGTCCCTCACGCTGCTGAATGCCACTATGCTTCACACAGACCTAAAAACCTTTCCCTCCCCAGCCCTGCACCCAGCTGGCTGGTGGATCCATTGCCCCTGCTCTCCCCAGCATGGACGTGTACCTTACCTATAGATGATGTTTAAGGAATGCAGGTAACCAATTGCACTAGCAACCTCTGCAGCATAGAATCTTGCACGGGGCTCACGGAAACAACGCTCTCTTTGCAAGTGGAAGAAGAGCTGAGACAGAGACAAGAGGATTTATGGCCACTCTAAAAGCAGAAAGTTATCTTCTGGCCCACAAGCCAGCTACTCAAGGGAAAGCTGATTTACAGCAAGAGGCACACAGACAGCACCAAATAAGCCCAAACCAAGAAGCCTTATTTCACTATCTAAGCACCTTCCCAGGAACTGTTGCATTTGTCTTCCTCATATCAGCCCTGCACCTAAGAAGTCATTGCCCCAAACCTGGCCATCTGCTGGTCTAGTTAAGCTTCCTTGCTAGCTCTAGCTCAGGAGCCAGTTATAGGTGTACATAAAGTATGGTCGCAAAACAGTGCTAACCTAAAAATCCCATGCGAGTCAGAACTCTGTGTAAACAAGACATCGGTGTTAACAGCACCTCCCAGCCTGTTTCAGGGAACACTGAAAGGCCCAGCTGTAGAGAGAGCAGCTGTTACAGTTCAGAAAAAGAAGCCTGACGTACTGCAGTAGCATCACATCAGCTCTAGTCTGGGACTGAGAGCTGGCACGAGTGAGTTTTCCATGAAGTTCACCAACGCTGGAATTTCTCATGCTCTCCATGGGATTTTAAAGCGTCCCTAACTTTTTTCTCCGCCTACTTGTCTTGATAACCAGCTGGCACAGGTCATCCTCAGCAGTATTTTCACTTATAAGTGAGATGCTTGCCAGCCCCTCCTAGCTGTTCTTTCCAACAAAGTAATGTTATGCTTCAACATCGTTATCTCCTGACAAGAAAGTTTCAGGCAATAAAACAGAATGGCTGGGAAGAACTAAGCAGAAGATTTAAAGTTGGTACTCACCTCTCCTCCATTTACATAATCAAGCACAAAGTAAAGCTTCTCCGAGGTCTGGAAGGAGTAGTGGAGGCCCACAAGGAAGGGGTGCTTGACATTTTTCAGAAGCACGTTGCGTTCTGCCATGATGTGGTTTTGCTGTAAAAAAGCAGGAGAGGAGACAGCTGTCCAGGACAGTCTGCTCTACAGACTCCCTGTTGTTCTGAACCCACGAGGAATCCGAGAACCCTACGGATCATATCCAGCCCCAAAGACGAAAGTCCTCCCCCCCCCCCCCTCTAACTTTGCTTCATCTCACAGATAAATCCATGCTTTCTGCGTGCATTGTTGACGTGAACACTCACTTCAGCCACCAGATGGTTCAATTGCATTACCAGGATTGCTTAGATACCAATCACCACTGTGTGTGTATGCATAGCCGAGGAGAGCAGACGTACCTCCTTTTTCTTTAGGATGGTTTTCTTATGCAAGACTTTCACAGCATAAAAAGTCCCATCACACTTGCGTTTGGCCAGGAGAACCTGCAACAGAATCACGTCACAGCTTTGAGTCCCTCCCTCCTTCCCCACTATCTGGGCTTTTGGAAGTGATTACACAGCTTTGGAGGGTCAGGTACAAAGTTTTAAAAACCTGGCTCCAGCCTGCTGTCTTCCCCCACCCAGGGGTTGCAAGTTGCCAGAAAAAGATGCTCAGCATCTCCAAGTATCTTACACACTGGACAGAAAGTGGTAACAGAACATTTAGAGGCAGTCCTGTTTCAAGTTCATCACTGACATCTTATGAAGCACAGCTTTGCCTAGGCACCTTCTGCTAATAGAAGTCACCTGAGGCTCCATTACAATCATTCTTTTCAGTCAAGTGCTGCTCATCACCACCTTGAGCATGAAACACCCCACTTCTTCCTAGAGTGGCTGCGGGGGAGCTCAAAGTAAGAATGGACTGTGGAAACCACTCTCGAGTCCCATCCTGTCTCAGTCCCCCTCCAAACACGGCCAAGATCCTCAGGAGAGGTACAAGCAAAGGACAAATTCCTTCAGTTAGGGCATCACTAAAAAGCTATGGCCCACCAGCGAAAGCCTACTTACTTTTCCAAAGCTTCCTTTGCCAATAACCTTCAGGAAGTCAAAGTCTGTTGGCTTGGCACTGTTGAGCGAGAATGAAAGAAGTTAAAGTTTCCAGAAGAAAAACATGCAACAGCAGCTCCTTTAGCAAAGCAATCATCCTTCTTGGGAGCTGAAGCATTTGTGAAAGTGACTGAAGGACACAAGACAGGTGGCCCTGCCAGCCAGCAGTCAGCAAGCAGGGGATTCAAACTACACGTCAGTGCACTGAGCAAAGGGCAAGGAGCCTCTCAGGAAGCCACCTTCTGAGGTAGCTTACCCTCCTTTGTAGAGTGAAAAATCAGTTTGGAAGCCAGTAGCAATGGGGAAAATTTCACCCTATTATCCATCAGAAGAGGGAGATGTGATTAGAGGCTGCAGGGGACATGGACAGAGGATGATCATGGAACAGGAATGAGCTGTAGCTGAGCATCTTGAAACCTGATGCACAGTGTTAAAAGCTAAGTGATGTAGCTGTTAAATCTTTTGCAGATACCACCCTTGCAGGACACAGGGAGTGCCTGCTTCCCCCTGCCAGATCTCTTCACAGAAAGCTCCACACCCTACCTGGCTTCTGCAGGGAGCTTACTTTGGGTTAGCAGAAGGTCCAAGGTTGATGTTGTCAGTTGGTGTTGTAGGCTAGAGAGGAGGACAGCAGTTTTAGTCACAAGAAAATGCTGCAGTTTGTGTTTTCCTGTCCTTTAACACAGCACCCCTTATCTTTAATAGGCATTTCAGTGAGATATGTATGAGATTGGTAAACTAAGTGATGGAGAAAGGGAAGATTTATGCACTGTGGCAATATCATGCCCAAGCTGGAGGCGACCTTACGCATAGTAGCACTGCAGGTGCGGCCTCCTTCTTCCCAGTGAGAAATTCACTACATACACATCAGACAAATACATCGCCCTCATCTCATTCTCACAGACTCTGGGGACATTATGCTTTACTCAAAAAGACTACAAGAGGGCTTCTTCCTCTTTTTTTCCCCACCAGCATCACCCCCAGGGACAGGGCAGAACTGGATCTGCCAGCAGGCTAACCCAGGCAATCCCTCACCTTTTTCCTATGGTAACTTTCCCCTCTCCATCCCCATGGTAGGCATTGCCAGCTCCAAGCTGGGATCTCACCTGGGCACTGCTGTCTGGGGTCCGGGAACGATCCATTAAAATAGCAACTCGTTCAGCACTGGGGAAGAGAGCAAGGGAGCAGTGAAAGCCAAATCCTATAGAAGCAGCTTCCTACCATTTACCGACCAGGTATGATCATGCCTCCATCACAGAACATCAGCTGAGGTTCCCAGCTAACTCTTTAGAGGAGTGAGTGTGGTGGGAAGCAGGACAGTAGTGGCACATCAAACATACCAACAGGAGATGGGGGGGGAGAAGCTTCACAGGTGCACAAGGAGTTTGAAAGATTACAGACTTCCTAAACACCATGGCTGGCCTTCAGTTTGGGATGGCAGCAACTGGTCAGGGCATCGATACACGGAGACCAGCAGAGCCTCAGGCACCCACCCCACTGCACAGGGATGCCACAGCCCCCAGCCCTGCAGTGCAGCCAGGTGAAGCTCCTTGGTGCCCTGGTTGGCTTAGACCTGTCCTGCTTGAGCATTGCTGGGTCCTGCCACAACAGCAGTTCCCGTTAGCTTAAAGGGCTCTGCAAAAGTCAGGATTAAAGGGATGATAACAGGAAGGGGGACAAAACCAAAATCTGTTCCTTCTCCCTTGCTCCAGAAAGCGTTATTCCCCCCTTCTCTCCCCTCCCCTAAGGCTCTGAATCCCAGGCAGAGCAGCTCTGAACATTCCTCCCTCCCCACTCTCCCACCCTCTCTCTGCCTCACCCCATGCACAAAGGCACGCTGAAGCCCCCACCAGCCCCCCCAAAATCTCACCTGTCAGCAGTGCCCCTCTCCGCCCCATACACAGACCCATGGTCACCCCACACCCAGCAGGGCAGCGCAGGGCTGGAGCTGCAGGGTGGCAGCAGGCACTGGCGGCCATCCCTGGGACAGCCCACATCCGGCCAGTGCCAGCCAGTGCCATCCACCACCAGCATCACCAGGCTGAGCTTTTAAAGGGCTCCCGGACTCAGTGGGTTCCATACTCACTATGAGCAGAGCCTGGAGCCGGATGCCTTGATGGTTTGTTCTATCCTCTCACGGCCGTGCTTGATGAATTCTATGAGGAAAGTTGGAGCACAGAGCTGATCAGCAGGCAGTGCAATCACAGGCACAGAGGCATGTTTGTTCTTCACTGACCTTGCTCCTCTCCCCACAGCCGCCTTCCTCCCCTCCCACCCACATACCAAAATAACCAGGAAATTATAGGAACCAGGACAGCTCCCTCCCAACCCACCTGGAGCCCTCAAGAGCTCCCAGGACAGGGACAGAAGCCCCAAAGCAGGTGCTCCCCTCCTCCAGGGCAGAGCAGGACCAGGGCTCCCGCAGCACCACCAAGCCCCTGCCAGCTATTCTGACCCCCGGAGGGATGAGCAACGCTCACAAGGTTGCTGCTGTGCTGAGACACATCGCACACTTGGCACACGTACGGCCACTTTCATTCAGGGCTCTGCAAGTAACGATGGGCCTGAATGAGACCTTTCAAGGCCTGCAGGAGGTGAGCCAGAGCCTCGGCCAAGGGAATGCAGCCAGCGTCAGGATCCCCACCCAGGAGCAGCTGCCAGTACCCATCATCATCACCATCACCTCCGCCCTGGAGGAAGAGCAGAGCCCTGAGCACACTGCACATGGGATGGCCTCAGGAGCTCAACCTGAGCATGGGAGTTCTCTGTTTGCTCAGCAGCAGATAACAGAAAAATTCTAAGGCTCATTCTCACCCTCTGGACAGATTAAAAACATCCACACATGTGTACTTCCTCCCCTCCCTTAAAAACAAGTGCTTTTGTGGACACAAGCAAGCTGTAATACCAGAATAGTTCTACTATGGCCAAAGCAGTGGCTGCCAGAAAACACCTCCCCAAACAAGAGGCTAGTAGGATGACACATTCTGGGAGGAAACAAGCCCAAGCCAAACTGTAGAGACCATTCACATTACAACAGGAAATGCAAATACCCAAAGCAAACCCCGTGAGGCATTTGGCAGCACCTCACCATGCAGTGAATACAGCAGCCCTGCAGCACACGCCAGAAGGGGCAGCACCCGGGCAGCTTGAGCCTGCTCCCTCCCACCGGGCACAGTCCTCGTTTCCCTGTTTGCCTCCCCAGCCCACTGAGGTTTGCTGAAGGTCACCTGAGTCATTTACTGTCTGCCCCACATGCTGGCAGACAGACTGGGATAGTGCAGGCACAATGCAGGGAGCTGAGCCCTGACCCAAAGCTGGGGATAGGGTCAGTGCGGGTGACTGGGAGCACGTGAGCAAAGCACAGAAATACATCCATATAGCAGTACCTGCAGGAAACATGGGACATCGGGCAGGAGGGGCTGGGAGCTGCAGCGAGGCACAGCAGCGCTGCTGAACAAAGGCAGGCAGTTCCACAGGGACATGCATGTATTTCCACCCCCTCTCCCCACCCCACACGGTCCACTCTGCTCTGCTGTTCCTCCGCTGCCAGTGGAGATGTTCAACAAGTCCTCGCTGACCACAGGCAGCACTCCATCAAGTGCACGCTCTCTGAGGCAGGAATCTCTCTGCACTGAGGCACCATGCACAGCACTAGGCAATGTCCATCCCCATCCTATTCCACTTCTGTTCAGACCCAGAGCCACTTCCGCCATCGGCCTGAACTCACCTGCAAAGCCTGGCCAGCTCCTGATTGCTCAGTGGATTAGAGCCCAATAGGCTTTTCCTTATTGCTAACAAACACCTCTCCCCCGAAAGCACAGAGATTTCCCACTGCACACATACACAGAACAACAGAATCAGAACTAGGTCAGGGAAGCACACAGGAGCTCCGGGTTATCCATGCCTGGCTGCATCACTCCCTGCACACACGGGGCAGTAGGGATGCTCCAGGCACAGGGCCATGGAGCATCACCAAGTCCTGAAGAGTTCTGTGGCACAGTGACTTACTGCACGCCAGGAGCACAAACCATGCACACCGTAGCCCTCCCCAGCTAGCATCACACCCAGCACCGAGCTGCTACTTACAGGAGCACTCGCTGCAGTGCAGTCTCTCCCCAGAAGCATCCCTCAGTAACACTCCTAACACACAGCAGCAGCTCCCTCTTCCTACAGCAGCTCTGCCAGCGGTGACCCACATTCCCAAGCCAGCCCAGCATTATTTGCTACAAACACATTACCGATGCAAGGCGTACCTTGCGGAGAGGCAACCTCATGGACTCGTCATGTGCGGCTGCTGCCTCCCCCCCTCCTCCTGATGTCAGCACTGCTTCATACCTAACCCAGATTGCAAACCCACTCCCATGCTGGGAACGCAAGGCAGGATGGCCAGCGGGGCTTCGGAAGGAGCACAGGACTTAGAAGGAGCCACCAGGGCAGCCCACAGCTCCCATCCTGCACACAGCATGGGGGGATGTCCCAGTTTCAGCACAGAGCAGGAGCACAGGTGGTGGGAAGGACTTCTGCAGGCACAGTGTTCTGCTGGCAAGGAAACATTCAGCTTCCCTCTGCTACAGATCTGAAAGATAGCTGCAGGCCAGCATTGCTTCCACACTCATTAGAAGCCAGAGGAAGGTGAGAACACAGAGGAGGAAGAAGGCTTTAAGGGCTCCTTCACTTGTGGAAGTGCTCTGAGCTGTCCCTCAGAGCTCCTCACCCAGTTATCTCCTGGGGATCCCATCTCTAATGCCTACACAGCACTGCAGAGTGGGAAGGTACAAGCTGAGCAGTCCCAGCTCCAGCTGGAGCCTACAGACAGCAGCCTTCAGGGTTCTGGAGAGAAAGCTGTGTGCAAACCTGGAAAAACAGCAGGTGGCTGAAGCCCGCAGCACTTTGCAAAGATGAAGACAAAAAAACTTAAAACTAAAAACCTGCAAAAACAGACAACAAAACATCAGCCACGCACCTGGGAGCACATTGCCCAGCATAGGCTGTGCTGGGAGGCACAGGAAGCATTGTGCAGGAGGTGAGCATGCAGTCCCCTCACTCCCCATCCTTGCCCCAGCCCAGCCCACCCCCAGCAGCTCTGTAGCCCCAGGGGCCTCATCCCCACACCCCAGCAGGGAGCAGCAGGGCTGCCTGCAGCATAGCATAGAGCTCATGGGCACCCTCCTTGCTCTGAGTGCCACTGCAGCCCTATAGAGAGAGCAGGAAAGCTCATCAGCAGCTAGCACAACCAGGCACCTGCCAGATATAGTCAGGGGCTGGAGCCCAGCTGAGGGTGATGGGCTGTGGGCTGCTGGGGTCCTGTCAGGTGCTTTAGAGCAATATTTTGCTTGTTTTAGTCAGCTGGGCATTTGGTCATGTGGTTGGGAGGAAGGTTAGAAGTGCTTGAGCCTAGAAGTTCCTTACAGAGTGCTCCTCCTGCCTGTGGTGTGTGGTTAAATGCAAACATGGACATGTGGAGAAGGAGAACCAGAGACAAAGCTCTGAGCAAAATTGCAGAAGGGCTGGTGTCTTCTCTCTCTCATCATTAAAAATAAAAGAGTCTCCTTCGGCTTCTGTTGTCATTTCCTATAACATCTCCTGACTGTGCCTGCAGCAGGAGCGGAACCCACCCAGCAGCAGCTCTGCCTGGTGGTGTGCACTGCCATGGGGCTGTGGGTGCTGCAGTGCCAGCAGTGGGTGCTGCAGTACCAGTGATGGAGGGAACCCCACGCTCTATGTCAGGGCTGTGCTCGCTGCTGCAGTGTGCCTGATGGGAGCGTGATGGGAGCAGTGCTTGAGCTGTTCCCTCCCAGCCCTCATGCCTGCTCCCACAACTGCCCCTCTCTCCCACCCCAGAGCCTTTTCCCACCCATTACCCTTTGTCTTCCCCAGGGCGCTGGAGGAAGGCTCCATCCAGGCTTGGGCATCAGGGCAGCCGGCCCTGGGTGTCCTTAGGCAATCCCTGTGTGAAGGCAAAGAGCACATGGTGAAAGGAGGGATGATTGTGGGTGGCTGTGCTGGAGGGCACATGTGTCATATGGGCACACGTCCCTGTAGGGCCACACACCTTGTGCACCAGGCACACAGAACCCTTCATCCCCCACACGCTGTGTCCCCATGTGTCCCCCATGGTGCGGGGGGAACTGGCACTGAAACTCAGCTCTTCAGTCGTTAACCCTTGATGCAATTAAGCATTGGCCAACAGAGGTCCATGGCAGTGAAGCAGCAGGACACTGCCGTATGGCTACTGGTCCCACTGTGACAGTGTGCCGGGCTCCTCAGCCCTGCCAGTATCACCTCCCAGCCCTGGGGACACCCTGACAGCTATGGGACACAGACAGGGACATCAGCCCCATGGAGGGGGCATCACCCCAAGCTGGCTGTCCCCATGTGCCCTGGGGGGATAGCAGTCACAGAGGTCCCCCTGGTGCGGGTTAGCCTGGTTTCCTAAACAGAAGAAATGAATTCCAGGTGCTGCCAGCATCACTGTCTGGGGAGCAGGGGGTCACTGCCCTGCTGCCATGCAGCTTCTATCCAGGAAGGACCCCCTGCCCCATCGCGTGTGTATGCTCTGTTTTGAATTGTTTCAAGCAGCTATTGCGTAGGGAATGTGTGTGGTTAAGATAGGGCATGTTATCTTCATCTCCCTATCAGGCAATATCCATACCCATAATCATAAATGTGTCACTTGCAGAGGAAGCGCATGGTGCCAAGCAGCTGGGATTACAGGGAAGGGCTCTGATAAGGGGAAAACAAACACTTCTGCAGAAAGCACTGTGTCAGTCTCCTTCAGCCAGCAGTGAAAGGTGACCCCAGCACTCGAGGTGTCAGCAGGGGCTCTTTGGGGCTGGGTTATCAGTGCTGCAGGAGGGATGAGGTGGGACAGAGTCAAGTGGGACAGGGATAGGAAAATCTTTAAAAGATCTGAGCCCATTTCTTCCTCTAAGAGGATTCAACAAAGGCTGAACAGACTGTACATGGACAGTGAGGTTCTCTAAAATCTTAGAGCAGTGCAGGACTGGCCCTGAGGACAAGGGCAGAGCAGCAGTTCTGCACCGGATTGAGCAGGGCTCAGCAGCACGGTGACGGCTCTGTGAGCTGCCCCCACAGCCTTGCTGTGCTGCCCTCATTAAGGGCACTCATGTCCCATGAGCAGCCCCTCCCAGTGCCCAAGAGAGGCTGTCCCTTTGCAGAGATGTGAATGCAGCCACCTTGAGCTCCATGAGATCAAAACTCCATCTTTGGTGCACATTTAATACAAGAAATCTTGTCACCTCCTGCCGTATTTCCAAGGGTGAGGATGCTATTTCTCTCCTCCCTGGAGCTGTTGTGATTCCTGGGAAATGAGCCTGATTTCAGGTTGGATATTAGTAAGCATTTCTTCTCCAAAAGAGTGGTGATGCAGTGATACAGCTGCCCAGGAAGGTGGTGAGGTCGCCATCCCTGGAGATGTTCAAGAAATGTGGGGATGTGGCACTGAGGGATGTGGTCAGTGGGCATGGTGGGGAGGGGTGGGGTTGGACTTGATGATCTCAGTCTTTTGCAACCTTGATCATAAAATCACAGAATCATGAACTATTTAGGTAGAAAGGGACCTTCGAGCCCATTGCATTCCAACTTCACCTATGGATTGGCTGCCCCCATCAGAACAGGGTGCTCAGGGTCCCACCCAGCCTGGTCTTGGGCACCTCCAGGGATGGGGCACCCACTCTTCTCTGGGCAGCACTGCCAAGGCCTCTGAGTAAAGAATTTCTTCCTAACATCTGACATGATTTTCCCCTCTTTTGGTTTAAGTATCCCTATGATTTTATGATTCAGGATACCTGAGCCCCCCTGCTCCCAACTGCCTCTCCTGCACCCCAGTCCTGTGCCCACCGACTCACCCGGCAGTGAGGGATGAGCCCTCCATCAAAACCTCTGTGATTGTCCCAAGCTGGCTCAGCCCTCAGGAGAGGAAGGGAAAGTCGTGGAGAAAGCAATGCCTTTACCTGCAGCAGCGTGGGGCAGCAGTCCTGCAGCAGCAGCAGAGGCAGTGCTCCCCTCCCACCTGCCCTGGGCTTTTGTTCCGGTGATTCAGTCTGAAGGTCGAAAGAGAAGTCAAAAGGAGTGGCCTGTGGTAGGAGTAAATGATTAGCAAGGGGCGGAAAGAGGTGGGTGGGAGAGGAAAATCTCTCAGTGGGGCAACCAGAGGACAGCTTGGCTCCAGAAAAGAGCAGAGGGTGAGAGCAGGAGTCACTGCTGCTCACCAGGGCACGCAGCTCCCGATCCAAAATGCAGGGCAGTCTGCAGGTCTGAGGCACAAGTGCTGTGCTCGGCTGTGGGCTCCTGACTACAGGAAAGACAATGAGACCCTGGAACCTGTTCAGAAAAGGAAGCTGAGGAAGGTCTGGAGCACAACGGGGTCTTATGGGGAGAGGAGGCTGAGGGAACTGGGATGGTTCGGTTTGGAGAAGAGGAGGCTGAGGGGAGACCTTATTGCTGTCTGCAACTCCCTGAAAGGAGGTTGTGGCGAGGTGGGGGTCAGCCTCTGCTCCCAGGGCCTCAAAGACACAGAGCAATAAGGAAACCCGTTCCCCCCTGGTGCAGATAAGGCCTTTGTGCCATTCATTTTTGGAATGAGAAGGTCTGGAGGATGCTGCAGCACATGACCAGAAGCTACATATCTGCAGTCAGAAGCCATGGAGATCATCCTTTTCCATCCTTTTCTTCCATTTCTGCTACTATTCTGGGCTTTGTTTTGCTCAGCCCGTTGCATCTCTTGCTGAAAGGCTGCACATCTCCAGCAGAGCCGAATCCATGTGCTGTCACTACTGCTAGCACAGCACTGAGATGTGTGCTGGGCAGGTGGGGGCTGCCTGCACCACAGTACCACCACAGGGGCTCCACCACGGCCACAGCCATGCTGAGAGGACAGAGCTGGGCTCGCTCTGTGAGCTGCTCATGCATTACCCGACAGAAGCACAGAGGGAAGCGCTTGAGCAGAACTGACAGCAAGACGAAGCCCAGGGGGGCTCCCAGAATAATACAGCACTTCCCGCAGCTTACGTCAGCCTGTGCCCCTAACAGCAGCCCTTTGGCCCCTAACAAATACAAAACAAAGGGCTGTGTTGGCCCATGAACATCCAAGGACAGAGCACAGTGCGATCCCAACGGGGAATGCAGTGAGAAAAGGGCCCCAGAGCTGCAGGGTGCAAAGCAGATGTGAAGCACAGCGGCGATGCTGCGGCACCCAGCCCTCCTGCCAAGGCTGTCCCAGTGCTGGGCACAACCCATGGGAAGGGAGTCAGGAGCTCAGCTCAAGCCAGGGCTCCTCCAAGTCCCATATTTCGGTTTGTTCCCCCTTCTCTACCTTTGGTTGTAAGGGATTTCAGGACTGGCCCCCTCCCCTTTCCCTTCCAACACCCACAAACCTGGTGCCCAACCCTGCCCCTGCCCAGCCCAACGAAGCAGGCCAGCTCCTCGGATATGTTTTCTCTTTATTGTTTGATATATTTATGTACCACATTATATGTTAAAGATAGACTTTTTTTTTTTCTGATATACATTTTTCATCTTATTTACCACAATGACACCACACATACATTGGAAACAGCTCCACGGATCTGGTAGATTGCACAGAATGAGTTTTGTCTTGGTTTTGTTCCTGCATCCTGAACGACGTCAAATCCAACAATATATATTTTTCTCTTTTCATTATTCAGAAATAATTCTTAAAATGAAACGAACAACAACAACCAAAAAAAAAAAAAAAAAAAAAAAAAAAGAAATAAAATCACTGAGAAGTGGACTCCAGGTCTGTGAGTTGAACCAGAGGCAAAATGCAATCAATGGGAAGCGCCATTCCTCGTGTCAATCCGGGTGGAAGAATTAAGCAGTCTGACATCGATGTGACTACAGTGTAAACATTGCAGATGACTGCAGCGCTGGCCGTCGGCCGGAGCGTGGGCTGCTGGGCTATTCCTACAGTCTAGGTCTCATCTACGTCTGTCTCGTGGTGTATGTAAAGGAATGCTGCTGCTCCCAGCACCCGCGGCCTGTCTGCTTCCATCTGTAAACACAACCCCATCGGGTCGGCAGCTCCTGCGGCACTGCAGTGCAGATCTGCAGGCAGTGCTGGGAGCTGTTATCCTTTCCCGATGGTTCATTCGTGGGGCTGAGCTTCAGGCAACCGGTGAGGAGGTCGGGGTGGGGCACCGTGGATTTTCCTTCCAAATATTTGAAAGAACAGAAAAATAAATATATATATTTTTAATCTTAGCTTATTTAAAAAGACGGCAGGGCACGCGTTTTCATCTCTTCTGATTTCATTTAATTTGCAGATTCTATAATGTAGGATTTGTTGGATGTAACGAAAGTAATGACTCCTCCTTGAAGGGACGCAGAATCTCACAGCTATGCGGATGTTCGATGCTATTCTCCTACTGCCACCAGCTCTGGCCCCTCCTTAGTCTTCAGCATTGGTTCTAAATGCCTCTATGAGGCCTTCTAAAGAGTGGATGAACCCGGAGACACTGCAGATCCCTCCTATAACGAAAATGGCGACGTCAAAGAAGACGTGGTGCCACAAGAGCTTCCTCCACAAGAGCTTGAGGTGGAAAAGACTGGGGAGCAGGAAACAGAGACCCGCACCAGTGAGGCTCCCAGTGAGACCCATCAAGAGGGCAAAGTGCGGGACGTAGATAGCCATGAGCAGGGTGAACACCACCAGGGCACACCTGAGAGTGAGCCCCCAGGACTTGAGCCGCCCGTCACCTCCGTAGCAGTTGGGGAAGAACGCCCTGTTTCCATCCTGGAAAAGGGATCGCTCCAGGACCTCCACAGCTGCAAAAAACGGCAAGGGGTAGGAGAGCAAGGCTTTGGCCACCAAGAAAATGTTGACTACTGCCCTAATGGTGGATGGCAAGTTGTCTGTGATGACCTCCTTGGTCTCGTCAGCCCAGGTCAGATAGGCGACCAAGGCAAAGAGTCCTTTAAGGATGCAAGCTGCTATGTGTGTCCAGTTCATCATGCAATGGAACTCCTTGGGGTTCTGCATGTTCCCCTCCAGGGAAGGCAGAAAGATCTGGGAGGTGTAGCTGAAGACAATGATGCCAATGGAGATGGGAAACTTCTTCACATCTATGTAGAACTTGACCTTGTCCCACGCCCAGTCGCGTGCCCGGGAGAGGCAGTAGGCGATCACCAAGATGTTGATCACAAAGTGGGCCAACGTGCAGAGCAAGCTGAACTTGGAGACTGCCTTCAGGTTCTTCAAGAACGCGCAAGGCAGGAGAACGGCTGTGGCAATAATGGACCACGACTTCTGGGATACGGGCAGGTTAGGGAAGCTGTTGTACATCAGGTTCCCACTGACCACCACGTAGAGGATGCAGGTCATGACCAGTTCAATGATCTGAGCCACATTCACAATTCTGCCCCCCAGCGTGGGGAAGCGAGGCGCGCAGCACGCGTTTGCTATGTCCACGTAGGAGTCTCTCACCCTGACTATCTCCCCATCCTCATTCTCTTCGTAAAGACAGGCAATAAGGATTTTCCCAGTGTAGCAGCAAACCACCGCAGCGAAAATTATTAAAAAGAGTCCTAGGTATCCACCATGAAGGATAGCATAGGGCAGGCCCAGCACAAACATCCCCTAGAAAGAGACAAAATGGAAACCGTGTTGCTCTCCTGATGGAGGGGCCAGGCAGTGAGCAGGCGCACACCCGCTGCCTCAGCCACATGCAGTGACACCAATGGCACAGCCCACAGCCCCACAGTCACACCGTGTGCTCATGATGACACGCACACCCTTCTCTCTCCAACGTGCTGCCCACTCCGTCACACCTATCACACCTATCACACCTATCACACCTATCACACCTATCACACCTATCACACCCATCACGCCCATGCACACCCGCAGCATCCACCCCAGAGCACCCACAGCAAGCAAGCACCAGCTTTTACCCAAATCTCCACCCTGTGTGTTTTCTCAGCACCCTCCGTGCACCAAGAACCCATCACCCTGCAGTGCCATCCTATCGCGGGGGGGACCAGCACAGACCCCTCCTCAGCCCCCCCATCCCGCATGCTGCCGTGGGGGCCAGCAGAGCAAAGCGATACAGACATTTTGTTTTGAATTTGGGGAAGGGAGATTATTGTTTCCCTTTTTTTTTTTTTTTTTTTCCCTCTTTCCTCCATTTTTCTTTTTTTTCCCTATTCCCCCTCTTTCTCTTCTTCTATTCTTTTTTCTCCTTTCTTTTTTCCATTCTTTTTCTGCCGAAGGGTGTTGCACCCCGTCACTGCTGAAGGGGACGAAGGCTGAGCCCGGGGATGGGAACGGAGCTGGGATCGGGGCTCGCGTCCCGGCGCGGGTGGCAGCGGGTGCCCGGCCGTACCTGGATGGCGTTGGTGACGTTCCAGCCCGCCTCCCACGCCGTGATCTTGGGCTTGCCCTGCCCGGACAGCTCGGAACAGACCCCTGCGTCCTTGGAGGCGGAGGGCGGCAGCGGCCCGGTGCCGTCCCGCTGGTAATGGATGTCCCCCTCCAGGGGCTGCTCGCCGCCCTCCTCACCGCCTTCGGACTTGAGGATGTCCATCTGCAGCCCCTGCCGGTGCTCCATGTCCAGGTCGTCGCAGTGAGCGAAGCCCACCGCCTCCTCGTCGGTGGCCGCCTGGAAGCCCATCCTGGCGAACATGCCGCTCATCTTCGCCTGGGACTTGTTGGACACCGAGGTGGCCACGTTGGACAGCTTGCTGCGGAGGAGCGTGGCCATGGCGGCTGTCGGGCTCGGAGGGCCGTGGAGACGCAGAGACCCGACGGGGCGGGAGGGTGGCGAGGCGGAGGCCGAGACCTCGGCGCCGGGAGAAGGGCGACGGCGGCGGCAGCTGAGGGAAGCTCTGCCGAGCCGCTACCTCCGCTCCCGAGCGCAGGGCGAACGGCTGCGCTGCAGGCTGCCCTGGGGCATGCCACCGCTGCGGGAAGCCGCGGGCCCTCCCGCCCCGCTCCGCGCCGCTCCGCTCCTTTCCGCCGGTCCCTCCCGGACGGCGACTGTCGCCGAGCTGCGGTGGTCACAGGTCTGCGGCTGTCAGCAACCGACGGCTGTCAGCGGGCGGCCGGCGCAAACCCCTGGCGGAGAGAGCCGCGTCTCCATCGCAGTGCGCCCACCTCGAGGAGAGAAGAGAGGGGAGAGGATTGCTGCATTTCTGGGGGAGGTACCAGCGGCCCCGGCCAAGCCCAGCCTCCCCCCCCCCCGGCACGGTGACACCCACGCCCGCCGGGTCCCGCCAGCAGCGCCGCAGCGCGGCTCCCCCCGGCCCCGCAGCCCCCCGCAGCCCCCCGCAGCCCTCCGCAACCCCTGACCCGCAGCCCAGCAGCCCCGCTCCTAGCCCCTTCCCCCCGCGAACAGAGCAGCAGAGGGAATACCGCCCCACTGAAGGTGCGGACAGACGGCTCTAGACAGATTCTCAACGAATTTCGACTCCTCGCAGCCCCTCCCTTGTCTTTTTTCCACCCAAAACCCCTCGCACCCCCATCGGAGCCCTGAGGCACCGGGAGAAGCACCGCTTCGGGAACGCAGCGGCAGCACCGACGGCTGCGGTCCCGCTCTGCTCCCCTCCGCGCCCGGGCTTCGCTCTGCCCCGCACTGCTCCGCGGGCGGCACCAAGGCGTTCCTCGGGCTCCGCTCCGTCTCGCGGAGCCATTTCCCATTTTTCCTCATAAAAATTAATTTTTCCGTTCTGCTCCCCTGAACACGCATACTGATATTGAACAGAAAAGCCCTCCGCGAGTTTTCTTTGTTTAATTGTCCCCGAGGTGCGCAGCCCGCACTGCACATATCGGCCACGGGAGATCCGGGGAGGCGCGGGGGGAGCGACGGCATTTGGGGTTCGGGGCCGGTGGGAAACAGCAGCGCTGCGGCACTGCGTAGGGATCGCCGAGGTTTTGTGGATCGGGAGAAGAAAATAAATAAATAAATAAATAAATGAATAAATAGACGTTCCCGAAGTGGAGGTGGGGGGGAGCGCCTGTTTGGTTCGCTGCTTTTCGGAGGTTACAACGAGCATTTCTGTTTTACTACAGACAACGGAAAACACAACGCTGAATGATTTCCTGATGCCGTTCTTTGGAATGGGAAGGAAGGGGCAGAGGGGAGGGCTGCGGTTGGGGTGCGGCACGGAGCGGAGCTTCCAGAAAACGCCTCAAATACCGCCGCCCCCGACCCCCCCTTATTTATTTTATTTATTTATTTATTTATTTTCCTTCTGACGGAAGCAGGAGGGGAATTAGGTGCAAAGCGGATGAAATGCGTCAAAAAGAGCCGTCGTCGCAGAGGGGCTGCGCCTCACGGGGGTCTTTCGGTCGCCGTTACCCTCCGGGCCAGACCCCAATGGGAATCGCGCTGCGCCGGGGCGGGGATTAACACAAATCAGTGCACAAATAGGTCGAGAAACAAAGAAAAAAAAAAAAAACAAAAACAGGAAAAGCCGAACCATCAGACTGCGCAGATGAACACCTCGGCGTTCATGCGGAGATTTTTAGAAAATTTTCGTTATTATTGTTATGATTTCTCACGTAACCCGCGATGAGTTTATCGCAAAAGACGCGAAGGAGATCGATGTTAGGGGGCCGCAGAGGGCGTCAGGGACGAAACAACGAAAATTCGCCCAACTCGCGGCGTGCTGCGGGGACATTGGGGCATTTCCCCCCTCCTCCCCACCTCTCGCCCCGCAGAGCCCCGGCCCTGCACCGCTGAGGCCCCGCACGGTGCGTCGGGCTCGGGAAACCTATTTAGAAACATCATTAAAACAATGACGATCATCATCATTATTAAAAACACCGAAAAACGTCCACGGAGCCTGAAAATGACCCCGGTCCGGTGGGGGACAAACGTGTCCCAAGGCAGCGCCGGCCCGGGGGCTGGCTTCTGGGCAGGGGCGCGGGGCATTGTGCCGCTGTTGGATACAGCGGTACCCCCACAAACGCCTCACAGCCCCGGCGTACACGTGCCGAGACACGGAGATAAACGGGGGGGGTTAGGGGTGCCGGCGGGCTCAACGCTGCGAGGGATGCGGGCCGCCGGGGCTCTTCTTCGACTCCGAAATTCCCCCCCGCTTCTGGGGCATCGCTGAGCCCCCCCCCACGCACACACCCTCCCCCCGCCCCGTGGGGACCGCAGCCAGGGCAGCCCCGATCGCTGCCTCGCGTCCGAAGGTGGGAGAAGGAGATTTTGTTCGGCTGCTCCTGGAAATAAAAAATCGCCCCGAACTTCTGCCGGCGGCTGAAAATAGGGATAGAACGCAGTGAAAGGAGGGGAAATAAAAAGAGAAAAAGGAAGGAAAAGGAGGAGAGAGGCAGAGGAAGAGAAGAAAAGGAGAGGTACGGAGAGAAGGAGAGGAGGCATTTACCTCTGCTGCTCGCAGCGCGCTGCTCCGCCGGGAGTGGGACTGGGAGGAATGGGTACGTGGGATGGGGAGATGCGGGGATGGGGGAATGGAAGGATGCGGGGATGGAGGCTGCGGGGATGGAGGATGTGGGGATGGGGGTGGGGGCTGCAGCCGCGTCTCTCCTGTGTCCCCCCTAATTCCTATTTAACCCAAGCAAGATCGCGGAGCCAAACCTTACCCAAAGGTTAGCGGGTCTCGGGGGAGCGTTTGAGCCGCAAATCTCAGATGGAGCTAAAAGCAGCACAGCAACGAGCTGCAGCCCCTGCTCTGCGGCTGCCGGGCGCTCCCTCTGCCTGGCGCTGGGGGCTTCGGGCGTCGTTCCCCCCGCAGAAGGGAGGGGTGTGGGGTCCCGGCACCGCTCGAGGAGCAGCCCCGGGGGAGCAGCCCGCCCGGACCCCCTGGCTGCAGGTGCAGATGGAGTAGAGACGCTGCCTTATCTGCACAGAACAGGCTCAGGGGTTGGGGCTGGGATTTCTGATTAACAAAGTGAAGGGAAAAGAGCTCCTCGTGCTTAAAAATCGTTTGAGGGAGGCAGGAAAGGCTGAGCTTAAGCAGGCTCTGCTTCTGCAGCCCTCGCTGCCAGCCCCTCTCCGAGCTGCGGGGCACCATGGCAGCGCAATTACCCGGGCCAGGAGGGGCTGCTCCCCGGGCCAGGCCCCCGCACCTCAAAGCATTCCATTCCTATGGCTTTCAGTGAGCTGCGCTCTTCCTCAAACACAGCACATTGCAAACCACGTCTGAAAATGAAATACAGCCATAAGAAAGAAAGGGATCGAAAGCAACCCCTGCATGCTCAGCCTCGCCCCGCAGCCCACGCAGGTCCTGGGTGCAGAGCCCCGATCCCCGCACACATCCTTTCCTCGTGGCACAAAACTCCATAGAAACCCCCAAGAGCAGCTGCTGGGCATCTCAGCACTGCAAGGAGAAGGCCGGGGGGGAGAAACTTCACCCTACCAAAGCCCTCCTCGGCCGCATCCCCTTCCAGAGCCACCCGTGTGTCCTTAGCAAAGCAATGGCCGCAGCCCCACGCGCTCCCCTCGCCCGCAGCCGTTGCCCCCAGCTCCGCTCTCTCCTCGCCGCGTCCTCCCGCAGCACTGACAGCATAATGAAGAGCGGCACGGTGCGACTATAAAAAGGCAATTAGACAAACTGCTGGATGGGGACCAGCTCTCGTGACCTACTTAATAGCTCGGGGACTTTCGGGAGGATAGGGAAGGAAAAGCAGCGGTGGCTGTGAGGTGGTGGGGAGGGAGAGAGGATGCTTCAGCACAGCGCCCTGAGCCTCCAAGCAGCCCTGTGGCACCGAGAGAACAGCTCTGCCCCACGTTGCTCCCTCCTGACCCAGCCATCAGCACTCATGCCCACGATGGGTGCCTCCTCCTCATTTAATCGTTCGTTTGTGTTTTTTCTTTAACTGAATGCAAAATGGCTGCCTAAATTGGAGAGATGTCAAACAAAGAGATGAGGGGGCCGGGATACGGGCATCACCAGTGAGCATGGCTTGGGACTGTGCCCAGGGGAGAATTCACCTGAACAATCCATGAAAACAAAGTAAAGGCTTCTTTAGACTTTACTCAGCAAGACTCCAAGCTCACTATTTACAAAATAAATACAGATCAGCTTCTGATCTGTATTGTGGGAGGTGGCTGCGCAGGGATTTCTGTGATTTGCACATCCCAGCCCAGCCCCGATCAGCAGTCACATCTACAGACCAAACACTTGCTATCATCTGACCACAACACCTCCTCAACAATGCTTCCGATTAACTGGAATTTAATCTAGCCCAGGGTTTGCCTTTATTGCTGTCATGAAAATGAAGTGAAAGTCCTTGGTTACCTGCAGCGTCGAATTCCCACAAACTCTATTGTTCCCATGAGCTTAACTGCATTTCCATTGACAAAACAGGTAAACTTCATCACTGTCAAATTCAATGCGTGTGTGTATGAGCTGAAGGGTTTTGTAGGAACCGACTAGGAACCAGGAGAAGCATCCCTCATGCGTGCCAAGATTTTCATTTCAATTTTCATGCACAAAGCACTTCTCCTCTACAGCTGTAGAGTCAGAGCTGCTTTCCAGAAGAAATGAACACTCTCCCTGCTCCCAGATCAGCTGTTTTCCCCCGGCATGAAGTTAAGCTCTCTTGGGGATTTTATTTCCTGGTCATTTTACACAAATCAGGGCTCAGTCACGTGCTCAGTGTGTGCTTTATTTTCTTTATTTTTTTTAATTCGTATTATTTTAGACCTGTGCAGCTGAGCAGAGCACGGCTCTAGCAGCCTTTTGCCTTTGGGGCTCAATGTCAGCAGGGTCCACCCCCATCCGCTCGCTT